AAAGGCCAAAAAAAATCACCCCCCCCCCTCCAGAAACTGACGGCAGGTTGCAATGGGTTGGACGAAAAGCCAAAACACGCTTCACAGAATTGACTGCACTTGCTGCAACCCGGCACCGCCTTTGGACTTGACAGGTTGTCAGACTTGTCGGCATTTTTCCGCCTAGAACCGAGCAATTGCGGCATGCGCCGAACGAGCCGTGTGAGATCGTGTTTAGGGTTTAGGGTTTAATTTCTAGGGTTTGGATGTGTGAGATCGTGTGAAGGTGCTTCACCGCCGAGGATCCTAAATGATCTCCACATTCGCCCGGCCAGTGGAGGCCTGAGCGGAACATGCGCAGCCGGATGAAAACACATCCGACCCTCTTGGACCAAAGCCTTGACAGACTCTTTTTAGAAGGCACTTCACTGTCTAACCTGCAGTGGAACCTGAACCAAAAGGCCTACAGCCCCATGCATCTGAAGTACAGCTAGGCAGGTGCTTGCTCTCAGGGCAAGGAGAGCCAAACTATTCTGAACATGCGCCGTTCGGCCACCAGCATGCAGCAAAGGATCAGCATCATCTCGCCAACAGGCTTCGACTCGAAACAGGCAGTGTTTTCCTGACACGTCTCGGAAGAGCGGACAGGGTTTTCCCATTTCGTGCTTGCCAAGAGCACCTACTCATAGGATTCGGTTACAAGGGCCAGCATGCCGCCGAACCGAGCACCTGTCACAAATCCCGACAAGGCACATGGGCTTGGCGTTGCCGCAGCTGTTGAAAATGCTGCTTCCACCGTGGGCGAATGTAGTGAACGAGAAGCCTCCACTCCCAGTGCTCGGACTTTCAGAAATTTTTGGACTGCTGCACCGCTCAAAGCTGTCAACAGCATGCACGGCAGCAGCAGGGGTGGAAACACATGGCTTTCTTTCCAAGTCACCTTCCCAAACCTACATACGGCAAACAGTCGGCAGTACCTCCCCTGTCAGCAACCCCGTCAAAGCCTGTCAGCAACCCCGTCAAAGCCTTGCGGCTTTTCGGTATGCTGTGTTGCTGGCGATGATTCCAGACAGAATGGACAAGGTCAAATAGAAGACTGCGCTGCCCAGGCAGAGCATGTAGGCATTCAGCACCTGGCGCTGATGTACAGTAGGGCTCAAACATTTTCAGGAAGGTGGACCAGTGTTGGGACACGGCAGCACCACTGCACCGAAGCCCAATTCGCCTCTACCTCCCCTCAATGGTTTAGAACGCAGAGGCCTATCTTCAACCATTTCACCCCATCCTGAAACTCCGACGACGCCTGCTTGGGGATGGCCATGCACTGGACAGCTCCCACTTGTCAACAACATCCCCTCCCAGCTCCCACCCTCTCACATTGCTCCATTCCCAACCCCAATGTGGGCAAACGGAAATGCTTTCCGAGAGTATGGCATCAAACTTGCTCGAAAAGTGAGCACTCCGTGGCGGTATCTTGCCAAACTCTTTGCGACTCAACAGCTGGGCATGGCACAAAAGGAGGGCAATCTGTTGGAATCTGACCTTCGAAGAGCATCTCTCCTGCGCAGATGGCGTGCCTGGTTTATGTTGCGGCTTTCTGCAATCACGTGTTCAGCACCTTGCCCAGTCCTGCCAGTGATAAAATCAATGTAGCGACCAAGAGCGAGCTGTTGATCCTTGGGTGGGCGGATCTGTGTGCTTTGCAGCACTTGCCATTATCGTTGAGGGAGATCATGCGCAATCCGAGAGTCCGGTTGATGTCTGAATTGACAAGATCTCTAACTTCGTCTCGTCGCATTGCTTGCATCTGAATTTGCAGGTTGTCCTCCAGACTTCGTGCACTTTAGCTAGTTTAGTTGGCCGGCGAGCCGGCACAATGTCAGGAAGGCACAACCACTTTTTGCCACAGGAGGTCAAGTCCTTTTGATAATGATGAGCTTGCTCGACCTACATCGACACAGAAAGGCAGCCGGGCCCTAAGCCCAGTCTGTGCATGCTGTATGTCAGGGCCTGCCTGTATGTCAGTCATCCAGGCATCCCGATTGTAGGAGTAGACCTGCAGCCAACCGTGCCCAGCCAACCATGCTAAGCTAAGGCTAAAAGTCCACAGACTTTTCTTCTACTGTACACCAGGCGGCGCCAGACGCCCAGTTGTAAAAGCCCGCAAACGCAGCACCCACGATAAGACCAGAAACCATGGCTCCAGATGTTCAGCCAATGCGCAAAACAAATTCTACAACCGTGACCGGTGTGCTGCTGCAGCTTTGCTGCCACAGATGCTTTGCACTACGGCTATACGGTGCCCATACGGGCACACAACTTCGCATGACTATGCAGTTGTGTCAAAATGGGTTCTACCACGGGAAGACTGTCAGTTCTGGTCACACATTGGCTTGACACTGTCCATGTCCTTGCAGCCGAGCTTGCTGGCTAAAAGATCTTGAGTTCTCAAGGCCACAGATGCCACGGGCTGCGCCAGCGGCTGTTTGCTACGAGTGCACTTGCATGAAGCTGCCGCGCCGACCTGCCGCACGCACTCAACCTAGGGAGCCACCAGCAAAACTTTGCTACACACGACGTTCAGGATTGGTCACATTCTGAGCACGGGCTTTCAAAGAAGGCCATGTGCACGTTCGGATATATGGGACGTGGGCGAAACGTGCGCAGCATCATATCTAACTGCATGCATCGCGCGCATTTGTTCATGGGAGGCTCGACCATCATCACAGGCCTGTTTGGGCCCCGGACCAGCAAAGCAAAAGCTTTTGCATTGGTGGGGCCCTCCAGCACGAAGCGACCTTGCGAGTCCTGACGCAACAAACCGAAAACAGCGATCACTTCAGTCGCTGCACCGTGCCTGCTCGCCGCGTGTGTAGCTGTCGTCGTCCTGCCGTTCCTCCACCATAGCCCGCCTGCGAAGCCGAAGCAGGCAAGTCCCATCAATATCCCGGAGGAGCTTTGGGAGGCAGCTCAGCACAGCACAAAACTGGAGAGACCTGCGCAGGCATTTCGCAAACCACCAGACAATCGGACCGTGTCCACCTTGTCCACGGACACCCAGTAAACTCGCCTCGTCTGTCAGCGACTTGCATGGCACTTGTTCACTTTTCGTCTGACCACGAACCACGAAGGTGACCATGACATCTGCCTGCACATATCTCAACTGCGCCTCATCTACCTCCCGATTGATATTCTTGGTGCAACTCTTTGGTGCACCTCTTCCTGCTTCGTTCTCGGGGACGGCGACGGCCGAGACTCAGGACGAAAGCACGCACTCGTAGCACCTGATGCAGGAAAGGCTAACCAAAGATTGAGCTAGCTCTGGCAAGCATGCTTGCTCCTGCACACAGCGCATAAAGGCCGCTGCAAGGGTGGCATGCAGACAAACGAGACCAGCTGCTAGCACAAACTGTCACGTTTTGTTGCCACGTTTGTATGTGGCAAAGCCCACAAATTAGGCGCATCGGGCCTGGGAACTACCTACGAAGTTAAATTCTGTCACATTCATTTGATGCAAATGGTGAAACTGAGATGTGTCTTGCAAAGTCTACTAAATTCGTATTGCAGACTTGTTCCATCGAGTTGTATCGTATCTTCTGCCACTGCCTGCTGCTCACGGATTTGGCATGTACACCATGCGGCATGCGCTTATATTGGCATACAAGTACGAGAAGGTAGTTCAAGCTCTCGCTGAGGTAGCTCAATGCCCGATGGCTCAATGCCCGGTGTCCTGTCAAGACTGTCGCTGAGAGGGGGCGCTAGCTCACTGTTATAATAACGACGAGCCTGTGACACGTTGAGGCGGTAAAGAGCTCCACGGCTGGCATTGGCCGTCGCCTAAGCATTTCACAAGACTCAACTGCATGAATTGTCTGGTGTTCTTGACCGGCTCCGTCTGGCCTTGGCGAACGATCCAAGAACCTGCGCTCTCACCATGATCTGTTCTGGCCGATCACAGCATTGGGCATCTCCTGCCATTTCTATAGACACGCATTCCTTGTGAGTATGAAACACCTGCCGAGCTGCCACACACACAAGACAGAATTTACATCCAACGACCGAGCACCCTCGTCGGTTGGCTGTACGAGAAGGACTGCGCCATCATTTCCGTGGCCCTGTTCGGGTGGAGCGGTACGGTGTGCGGAAAGAAGCATGAACCCTTCCGGCAGGGCAAGCTTGAACCATGCGATGCTTGCATGCTTCAATCTTCTGGCACGCTGTTCATCCCGGCCTCGTAATCGCGTGCTGAGAACACCCGGATCAGCATGTTGTCATGCATCACATCAACACCTTCGAGGCATGTCAGTGCTGACGGTCACTCCTGCCAGAAGTCTTCATAGAACAGTGTTGCCCATGCTGTCTACCAGGCCGTACGTGCACATTCCCAGCTGGATGGAGCTAAAGGTCCTCCCCACCCCAAGGTCAATCAAGCCATATTGCATGGATGGGTGGGTTTAGGTTTCGTGAATCCCTTTGCCCGTGAAAGCCGCCACTTTTTGTGCTACAACAACAACAACAACAAGTTACAATAAATGCCTCTCGAAGACCCCTGAACCCTGTGACTGTCGCTGTTTTGAGCAAGGTCAAGGTGAACGAAGAGGTCGACACGACAATTCCGGCTCCAAGCCCGGTGGATCCCTGTGATTGGGACTGAAACATCATGGAAGAGGTCAGGGTGAGAAAGCGACACCAGGAGCCTGCGGCTATGTGGCACCCCTCTCGAGCACTACACGATGCGGGAAGGGGGGCGAACCGAGAGCGCCAGACGCCTGGACAAAACACCGAAAGGGTGCAATGGACATTGGCAGCTTGGAGCAGACCGAAGTTTCTTTGTTTGTGCACGGGTCTAGCACTCCCTCAATACAAGTAGACACGCTCAACAGCTTACCTTGCCCCGTAAATTGCGAAGAGCACTCTTGGAATGACTGGGGTCATGAAACCCACTCAACTCAACTCCCGCCACCACAACGAGGGAGCGCAAGAAACGAGGGAGCGGAAGAAACTCGTCATCACGCCTGCCTGGATATGTTGGTTTCTGCTTGTGACCTCGCCTGCTGCTGCCTCGTGCTTGGATTCATCAGACACATCTCTCTTCTTCTCCCCATCTGTCCACGGCTCGTCTTCCCATCGGTTCTTGACCGCACGAGGCCCTAGAAACCCAAGAGTCCATCCGACGCTCGAATCCTTGCGGAACTCCCAATAAAGCCTACCACTTGCGAGCCTATTCCATCCTTCTTGGACTGGTGGCTGCGCACGACCATGCTGATACCGTTCTTGGCACAGAATGTCTTTGTTACATCCTGGGCAGCGAGAGAAGACTCTTGAGGCACACCACGTTGGAGGCTTCGCTTCGAGATCGTAGGCAAAGGCCCCGACCCAACCAAAGAGGACCGCAGTCGTGTTCCGTGGCGATTCATGCACACCGAAGACAGGGCCTGAATGCAACTAGCAGACAAGCTAGCTGAACTTCCGCAGGTTGTCATCAGCTCTGGCACCATTTGACCGTCCATTGAGATCTGGCTGTCCAAGCAACATGCTAGGTGTTCCCACCTGCTTCTTGAGATCGCTGTTCACGATCATCCTCGCTGACTTGGACAGTTGAGCTGATTGACACAAACGCCATGTCAAATCACTGCTATCTTTGGGAACGTTGATCATGGGGAGCTAGCAGCCTGCTAAAGCAACGGCAGAAGCCGTCCTCGATTGGATCTGACCACAGAATGTTGTGGACCTTGCAGCGCCAAGCTGCTGGGGCTGATGTCACTGCCAGACAGTTGAGCTCCGATCCCAACGCAGCTTCGCCGAACAAAGCTCCTGCCATCTGGAAAGCAACAACCGCTGCAGAGCTTCAGATCTTTGAGAATCAGCTTTCGCAGCAGGCACCTGTTGGCTCAAAGGTCGTCTGACAGCTCGCAGGTCATTAAGATCCCACCTGGAGAACTGATCCCACTAAAGTCTGCACATTGATGTATTCCACGCTGTTTTTCTGAGGATCTCGCCTCCCATCCCCCACACCTCCGTGCACGCAGAGGATCTTGTTGGCGACGAGGCAAGCGATCGGTAGCTGGTCAAACGTAGTCTGAAAAAGGTCCTGGCTGAAAGTAAGTCTTGCAGATTTCGGGGGCGTTCGTCATGCATCAAGACGCCGGCATAAGTTTTGCGACCGAATGTGTCACCAAGACGATCGTGGCATTCCTGGAAAGCTTGAAAGCTCTTGCTTTGAAGCGATTGTCTCAGGCCAGGCACGTGAGTCCTCCCAGAAGCCATATCTGGCATTCATGGAGCGATCCTCATGGTTTCCACGAACCAGCCAGACCTGGCATATCACAGGAGAAAGTAGCTGACAGAAGACGTCACCAGCAGCTAGTTGAGGCTGCAGCACGGTCCGGCATTGAGACCTTAACATTTCCGAGCATGCCGGGCCAACAATGCTGAGGCGCCAGCTGGGCAAAGAACTTTCAAGGCCAGCAACAGTCCAATGACTTCCAGAGAGTGCGCTCCCCTAGCAAGGGCTCGGCACTTTGCAAGATGCAACCATGCCTCAAGTTTCATTCAAGTGCGGCCTGTCGACGAAGTCGCCGTTGAAAACATAAGACCTGTCAACAGCTTAAGCAAATGCACTCCTCCAAGTCCTCATGCCGCCCAAGGAAGTTGTGTTGAGATGTGTACGCCCTTTCAGTTCTTGGGTGTCTTCACAGATACTGAATACTGAATACTACATGCCAGGTTGATCATGCTAGCAGCACGAGAACCGTCCTCGGTCCAGACGATGATGTTAGATAGTGTCATGATATGTCATGATAGCAGAAGGCTCACTCGACCTCTTTTATTGGGTTTAGAAAGTAGCTCCCAAAGGTCGCAACGGCATGCTGCTTCCATTGCGGGTCACTCCAAAAGAGGGCTGCCGGCATCACGCATCAGAGGGTGACATGGAATCTGGAATCTTAAGCTCGCTCGGGCCTGGACGGACGACCAACCCCTGGCCACTCCAAGACAAAGCCGTTCTAAGGGAGCCGCATTTCGAGGTCATTCAAATTGTCCTCTTTGCTTCCAGGGAAACCGAAAGCGGCCTTAGCGAAGCCAGGAGCGAAAAGAGTGTAAATATTAAGTGTGTGGTTTAGTGCCACGACGGACTCAACGGCTCATTCCTTCTAATCGCCGGGAGCTGGCATATTTACTCCTTTGTCTTCTACCCCAGCGTGGAAGCGTTGCGCTGAACGACAAGACCTTTTCCGCACTCGGGCCAGGACTTGGAGAATTACACACACACAATGGATTGACAAAAACGACAGGTTTCGATACCAAGCCATACCGTACTACTCCCAACCCGTTTCAGCACTCAGGAAGGGCCATACAACAGACGAACTGGACCGGCAAGAGTACTCCAGGAGGCATCTGTGACGAGTGGAAGGCGACATGTCATCAAAGTGTCTGCGAAATGCATCGGCACCTTCGGAGCAACAGAAAATGGGCAGCTCGGGACCCCACGAAAATCAGAAGCAGATCCCGGAGTTGACCATGGATGTCACCAAAGATTCGGCAAGGAACTCTGGCCTGCCCATGGCAAGCCCCGCCAGACCTCTGTGGTTGCTACGGTTGCTGACACCTCGGTGAGGACTGGCTGAACCGCCACCAGCTTCGAGCTGGCTTTCGCCAGTATCATCCTCAAAAGCAGTGCCCCTGCAAACACAAGCTTCGGTAACTCAAGGTCGCATGCAGTATTACCGGGCGCCCCACAAAGTGTCAACGTATTCTGTCGTGAAAAGCTCAGACAAAGCCCCTCCTCGCAGTGTCTGCACAGCTCTCCACTTTTCAAGGAAGGGCTACTTCTGCACAGGCACACCAGCTGCCACACGAAATGAGCATTCGCTCCACGCGAATGTTGCAAGCCGCAGGGCAGGCATCCTTTTTGCAAGTCTTCCCAAGCTGCCGTGCTGCAGTATCATGGGTGGCCGTCTCTTTGCACAAAACCTTCAGCCCAGAGCAAGCCATGTCTTTTGCTTTGGAGCCCTTAGTTGGGTCACGGCCGTGGCCTTGGCCTTTCCCCCGAAGCTCACCAAAGGTGCTCAGATGGAAGATGCAAGAAAGCAGGGCATCAGCAGAACCGGGAAGTCTCATCCATCTCTGCGCTATCAGGCCTGCAGACACTCCTGGCGAGCACAAGCGGCAAGCACTGAACATGTCTTCCATGCATGTCGAGCGCAGTTTCAAGTCCTGTCAACCTGTCGCACTCCTGCCTCAGGTCTTGACCGACAAATAACCCCTGGGTGCCGGCTGCTGGTCCCAATGTCGCCTAATACTTTTACGCTTATCGCACAAATCTACAAGTTCGCACCCTGTGCAGTCTGCAAGTTACGACAGGTCCTCGGCACCAAGCCCAGACGGGTCTGAAAATATCTGAAACTGGCACAGTCGACCCGGTACCAATTCCTTAGCTGGAGGATCAACGAGACCTGTGGACATGTTGAAGACAACCATCTGAGGCCGGCACAGACGTACCGACAAGGTCCTGCTGGCTAACAAAGATCTTTCCTTCTCGCCGATCAGCCTGCCAATAATCAGGTCGAACTGCGTTTGACGTACACAACGATAAACAAAAAGCATGCCAGGCCTGTGCATGTTGCACCTGCTCAGACGGTCTAATCCAACCGTATTTGCCTCAAGCTCGGATTCTTCGGGCAACAACATGCAAGTCGGTCGTCACGCCAACATGCAGCAGGCTTTTGAGTGCCTGCTGCTCCATTAAGACTTAAGGCTGTACCGCGATTGGACAAGATGCCCTTCCACTCCAGCACTTCCCCCAACACCGGGTTCTCCGTAACTCGCGTGCGAGGTAGCTTGTGGCCAGGACCCCGCTTGCCTCGGAGCACATGCAAGCTGGCACAGGCTCACACACACACACACACAAACACACACACAGAGACAGTTACTTCTCTCTCATTACGAAGCAGTGGCACAAAGGCCGGCGAAAGTCACCGAGGGAGTGGGAAGGTGTTGAATGAGTACTTCTTTGATGACCCGGTCCGAAGTCACGGGGCGCACGCGAGACAACACGATATTCAGACCAGGAACAAGAGACTACAGAAGATCGCAGAATTTCAGAGCCAATGTTCCACCTGCCTATCTTGAGTACTGACGGGGTTCCTCAAGGAAAAGCGCGACCGACAGATCGGGAATTGCTCAGGACGTTTTCGAGGACGCATGCTACCAAAAAAATCAGCTTCTCCTTCGCTGACGAATCTCCAAGAGATGCTGTTGCAACATGCATGTCACCAGTGCCAATGCCTTGTACACTGTTGTAGTGTTCCAGTGTTATGGGCTTCCAATTAGTGCCGCACTGAATCGGTGCATCTCCGTCAGCAGAAGAATCCAAAAGCAGGCTAGCCAACCTGTCTCGCGTTTGCGTGCCATACAACCTGCCAGTGGTCTGGCGGTTTCACAGTTCTAGTACCAACGATTTTTGCAGTTGGTCCTACACCGTCCTCCCTCAAAACCAGCACCCACGCCCCCACCTTCGCACACCCACTCCAAACCTGGCGGATGCACGCACCAGCACCACAGCCGCACCAACAAGCATCTGGACCCACCCACACTCACCATAGTCGTCGGCCCATACTACCCAAGACAGCTACGCCGTGCACACGTCCGCACGCTTGAATCCGCAGTACCATTGCTTCTGGCCGTCACCCGAACCGAACCACATCTGGAAGCGAAAAAAAAGAAACTGCGAAACAAAGTGAGAAAACTTGCCCGCCTTCGGTCAAGACAACAACACGTCTCAGCTAGCAGCTAGCTGCAGGCTGCAGCTATCTAGCATCACACATCCAGCAAACAAACACGGCTGTCTCAAACACCTGCGTGCTCCAATTAAATCGGCTGAGCGACCTTTGCCCTTGCCCTTGACGCCCTTGCCCCCGAACTTACCTTTCGCAAACGTTCCAGAGCCCTTTCCGGTGCCCCAGCTGGACCAAGACCAATCGTCGCTGCCCTTGCCCTTTGAGTCACCTTTCCATCCCCAAGACGACGAGGAGTCTCCTTTCCAGCCCGTGGAAGCCTCTGGCTTCCACCCTTTGAAGGAACTCGAAGAGTCACCTTTCCATCCGTTACTACTCGTAGAGTCACCTTTCCATCCGTTGGTAGCAGCTCCCTTCCAGCTGCCTGTGGAAGCTCCCTTCCATGTTGAGGAAGAGCCTTTGTAGGCACCGGCTTGACCTTTGCCTTGGTAGTCATTGCCTTGGGACCAACCGCCGGAGCCGCCCCAGCCTCCTGGCTGGACCACGAGAATCCCGTTGGCTAACAGCCAGAGCTAGACCCGGATGTGAAAAGTTGATATGAGAAGATGCACTTACACACATGGCTGCTGTCTCGTGGGCCCGATCCCAGCTCCTGTGCCCGTCGCATTCTGCTTCCATTGCGGCTGCCACACTGCCATGGCTTCGACGGGGCCCTCAATGTCTAAGGCAGTGCTTGAGCAGGAGCGATACGAAAGTCTTTCAAAGAAGCCTCCCTCTGTCTCCCTCCCTTCTTCTTGGATTCTTGTCTTCTGGGGTTCACGGCACGCTTTGCCACCCAGAAGCCCCACCCCGGAAGTGCCCCGCTTGTTGGTGTTTTAGGGAGATCGGTGGAACACGGAGCTAGTGGTGAGTCTGCTGATAGGCTCCCCGAAACTTGCTGCTCAAAAGCTTTGCTTTTGGGGCTAAAGCTGAAGGCAGTCCTCCCTGCGCAGGTGCGCATTTTGATGGGTGGGACTTGGACTGGTGGTCCGGCACAGGAAAAACGGGTCTCCCTTTCCACTCAAAGACCTCAAACACCTGGTCTCTCTCCCTCTCGTGTTTGTTGTTTCCTGACTATATTATACGGTACTTCGCCCGGTTTATACACAAAATACACACAGCATTCTTCTGGGAGATTACAAAAAAGCGATCAAGGGCACGGGGGGCTCCTTGAGCCAGGCGCCACTGGTTGTGCAGCGTGTCCCCGGGCTCTTCGATCACCCGGGCCGCAAGGTGGGCGGCCTCCCACTAAAAGCGGTTTAGGATTTAGGGTTTACGCTCTTAGGGTCTGGGGTTTCGACTCACACACTCGCGCAAGCAGGCATGGCAGGTACGGTTCCGAGCTTGCTACAGGACATGATAGGCCAAGGCCCCACCAACTCAGTACCAACAAAATCCAATGAAGAAAAAACCAGCAGCAACAACATAAAGTAGAGCAGAATGGACCCCTGTGCTTATCATGTTGGGCTCACCTTGGAGGCCTTCAGCAAGAACTCATCTGTTTCAAAATAGTCTATCATGTCTCACACAAGTACTAACTATCGAAAACTAGAGGATTTTTTCCCCCCTGTCATGCTCCTCACGGTAGGTCGCACCCGTGGCTCAGTGACACGTGCACCTGCCACAGAATCCCGTCAGCAGCTACATCGCATGGCGTGCTTCGCGAATAACTGGCGCTTTGGGTTTACCATTGCCAGCTCAAAAGAAAGCAGG